AACCCGCTGTCTTTCACAACTTGTAAAAATATTTGTTGCTTTATTGTAGGCTGGGTAATTTAAATACCTGATTACAGGCAGGGATGCCATGTAGAAAAATATCTACTTGATTATTTAGTCAGAGATTCTGATTGAAGATTTCTTGATATTATTAAAGTTTTCTGTTCAAACCATCCGACCTTCAGGTCAACATTTCTTCTTGTTCCTGAGGTTCTGATGAGACCGTAGTCTCACCTGTGGAAGACCGGTCCAAACAGAACCTTGTTCAGGTCCGACTTCAGAAACGTATCTGCAGGTTTAATGTTTGTTGGTTAGGAAGTAAACCAGTGTGACCTTTGACCTCTGCTCTCAAGCTGTTTTTCAGTCAGCTGAGCGCTGACCCGGACGGAAACAATGAGTAAACCCAGCACCTTAAACCAGAGTAAACCTTGTTTATGATGTCATCACCAGATGAAAGCAGAGAAATAAACACCAGAAACCAGCTGCTGGTTCATTGAATCAGTCATCAGATCTATTCATTATATTTAAAGCAACTAAACTCCAGATTTGTTTAGATTTATCAGGAATGGAGCTGAAACTCCACCCACCTCGTCGGTTCTGTCAGCCGGCCTGTAAATGGTGCRCAGCTGCTGACAACAAATCTCCTCCTAATCTGTGTGTGTGTGTGTGAGTGTGTGTGTGGGGGGGGGCTACAGCTGTACATTTACAGCCCAGGAGGTTAACTGGGTGGGCGTGGCCTGAATTCCATTTCATGTGGTGCATCAGCACATCGTCCTGCAGGGTTTAAGCTAACTTGGATCGGTTAGGTGAGCAATGTAAACAAAACAAACAAAGTTCACATGTGAGTCACTGAACAACAGAATCAAGCTGCTCTGTGATTGGTGGAAACAGAAACAACGAGCCAACATGTCTGCCACAGGCTTTTATTGCAAAGTGGCTTCCTGTGATCTCAGAAACAACGTTCCACTTTAAGGCTCCAGATGTTGTTTAGGGAGGTGGAGGGGGGGATGGGGGGGGTCATCTCTCACTGTTGAGGGGAGACGGGGGTCAAACCTGCTTCCTGTAGTGCTTTCTTTACAAAATAAAWGTAGACCAACTCTGCAGTGACGGTACATTCAAACTGAAAGTAAGGCGACCTGAAATGAGGGGAGTCCAGAGGAGAACCAGCTGCGAGGTAAACAGAGCTTATCTTGGGAACACTGATACACAATTTAAAGTCATGAAGTTTAGTGTTTGAACAAMAATGGATGCATAGTCTAACACAACACGTCTTGGACACAGCTGAGAGGAACCATCGGGGTACAATAATAAATAAATCATATGTAAAAAGCATGATCCGTGTGCAGCAGAGGAAGTGCTTCGTGGTGCTCTCCTCCCAAACGTGGCGGCTTCCTTCATGGACTTTTTTTTGGCAAAACTCTGGCTGTGGGAGAGAGAGACACCCTTCCTGGGGAGGAGTGGGGGTTGGTGGTGTGGTTGTACTTCTTTGTGTTTCTGCCAGGTGAGCGCGCGTCACGCGGCAACAAACTGCGAGGTGTTTGCATATGTTAATGAGATCTCCTTCATGTTGGAAAAAAGTAGAACAAAAAAAAAACGACAAAAAGAAAACAGAGAGGCCTAAAGACGCTAACACCTTCAGGACATGGAGAAACACAGAGCAAGCTGCTGGGTGAAATGATGGCGGCAGCGGTCAGGTGAGGGGGGAGGGGCTTTTGCGTCGGTCCTGATGGCACAGCGGTTGGCTTGGCTCCGCTCGGTTCTGCGCCGCCTCATCACAGCGGGCTGCCCTCCAGAGAGACCACCACGTTCCCGCCCAGCTTCTCAGCCAGCGTCTGGCGGTCCTGGATGTCGTCCAGCCCGTTCACCTGCCACTCGTGTTTGATACCTGCAGGAAACACCTGACGTCAGCGMCCACGCCCACGACACACAGGCTTGTTTTCATATTCCTGTGAGGACYGTGCATTGACTTCCATTCATTTTCTGACCATTGACCCTAACCCCCCCGCTGCTGACATATCTGCCTTCATTAGGAAGTCCAAATCCTGTCTCCCCTCTGTGCTTCCTGTCATCACTAACATCATCCACTCCTCTCTGACCACTGCTACTGTTCCCACAGCTTTTAAACCAGCTGCCATCACCCCCATCATAAAGAAAACAGGTCTAGACCCGACTAACTTCAATAACCTCGTCTCATTTCTAATCTGTCCTTCATCTCCAAAAGTCTTGAAAAGGTCGTCTCTGATCAGCTACACTCACTCCTCTCCAACAATAACCTGTGTGAACAGTTCCAGTCAGGTCTTCAACCACAGCWCAGAAACTGCTCTTATTAAAATGACTGATGATCTCCTCCTCGCTGCTGACTCAGGACTTCTGTCAAAACTCCTCCTCCTTGATCTGAGCTCCTCCTTTGACACCATCTCTCATCCTGTCCTCATCAACAGACTGACCTCTATCGGCACCTCAGACACCCCCAGACTGGTTTAAATCCTGTCTTTCTGACCGCACTCAGTTCATACAGCTCAWGTCCTTCTGCTCCCAGTCTTCACCCATTTCCACTGGTGTTCCCCAAGGTTCTGTACCCGGGCCTCTACTTTTACCCAACATCTRGCCTGAAGACATCTTTTCAGATTAGCCTACCACTGTTAACTCAGACTGACTGGTCATCGTACCTCAATATGACTGTTTTGTAGTCCTCATTTCTGTTCCTCACCCACAACCCTATTGTTCAATTTATCTACTTTATTGTATTTTATTATATGACTGTTCATTACTCCTCATTTCTATGTTTCTCCTGCACTACCCTATCATTCATGTATCCAGAGTTGTTTCTTTTCTAATGTACAGTGTTCTTGGGTGTCCTGAAAGGCGTTTTATAAATAAAATGCATTATTATTAATAAAACTAACCTCACAGGTACCTGACCCTAAAACTAACCTCACAGGTACCTACCTGACCCTAAAACTAACCTCACAGGTACCTGACCCTAAAACTAACCTCACAGGTACCTGACCCTAAACTAACCTCACAGGTACCTACCTGACCCTAAACTAACCTCACAGGTACCTGACCCTAAAACTAACCTCACAGGTACCTGACCCTAAAATAACCTCACAGGTACCTACCTGACCCTAAACTAACCTCACAGGTACCTGACCCTAAAACTAACCTCACAGGTACCTGACCCTAAAACTAACCTCACAGGTACCTACCTGACCCTAAACTAACCTCACAGGTACCTGACCCTAAACTAACCTCACAGGTACCTGACCCTAAAACTAACCTCACAGGTACCTACCTGACCCTAAACTAACCT